GCGTGCGCACCCGGCAGCCTGACACAGTGCGTACTGCGTTCACAGACCGTATTGCTCGACACCAACGAGCATCGATGCAACACAGCCTCTTTGCAAAGCCCTGTGGAGAAACCCCTCGCGTCGCGGAACACCATTCGACTCAGCCTTATACCCTAGCGTGGCGAAATCTCACCGCATCGTGGAGCACACCCACCATAGCGTGACGTCCATACGCATTGCCGCATTGCGACTTTTACGCGCGCCTGTTTTCAAACGCCTAGACACAAACGAGCGTCGACGCAACGCAGCCTCTCTGCAGAGCCGTGTGGCGCAATCTGACCGCAACGGTGTCCCTCTTGAGCCTTCTTGTGCTCTCTGGCTTTGTTGGTTTCATCCATGATTGACCAAGGGGCACGTTCCTGAAACACCGGAGACAGTCCCTCACCAGAAAAGGTCCCGACAGCTACCCGGTCCGTCTCTACCTTTCGTGTTTCCCCGCTCAAGTGTCACCATGTGACACCATGTGACACCATGTGACACCATGTGACACGAGTCAGGTCCCCACAAGTTTCGACCTCGAGTCTCTTGGCAAATATCTTGGATTCTCCTTGCTCTCCTTTCTGGTTGATTGTTAGTTTCATGAGTGCTGGCGAGCAAGACAAAGCCAACAGTCTTGGAAAGGGGCCCAAGTGAAGGACGATGCATGCGATGCTAGTTTCTAGATCTTCTGAGCAGACTCTGTAAACAAACTACTGATGCCACCAGGCACCAGCCTGTATCGCCATGCCTTCCAGCCAAGACCACATGTAAGGTGGAACTTTAGTGAGCGAATCCAGGATCATAGGCTACGTTAATGATGGCTGCTTTGTAGCTTAGGCCAGAGCAGACAAACTCTCCAATTCAGAGCCTTTTGCCTTTGTTGGCAGCACTTCTGGTTGGTCTCGCAGCTGGCTCTGGACTGCGAGCTCCTACAGCCGACAGTCCCACTGAGGCTGTCAAGGCGGCAAAAGACTGAAGATCTTGAATAGGTTTGTTTTTATCGATGAATTCAAGACTGAAAACATCAGCATCACTGTTTCCTTTCGAGTCAATGGTTTGTCTAGGACGTGCAGCTGAGTACAACAATCTCAAGCTTGCCTAATGCTGAAACCTTGCCCAAGCCAACTCTGGTCATGCAGAAGGCCGTGCCTGTCGCTGCGCAGCTTCCGTCTTGCTAGCTTAATCTCCGCAAGCTCTTCTGCGTCCTTGCTACTAGTTGCTGACTTTTTCACTCAAGCCAGCTACCTAACTTGCTACTGCCCCATCTTCTAACCGACCGCACCTAAGAAACAATGCAAAGAAAAGCAAGACTTGTCAAGTTTCGAGCCACAAGCGAGTGTACGGTAGTGACTTTCTACAGCAACCTTTCTATGACAAGTGTGGAAGTAGTTCATGATTCATAATCGACTGCAATCGAACTTGACAAAATCATCGGACTCTATTCTTGATGTATATAGAGCTTTTTGAATTGCGGAGGCCACAGGAAAGATGCAAGATGTGGCTGACAAGGCCAGCGGAGCTCAGATGATGTCCTCCAATCTAATTTCTACCAAGCTATATTGGACCTTTCTTCCTTTTCTTTTTTCTTTGTTTCTATATAATAGCGATGGCCTCCAACCTGCTGGTGATGGCCTCCAACCTACTAGCGATGGCCTCCAACCTAGTAGCTTCTCTCACTTTGCATATCTTGCAATGCCAATCTGAAGGTTGACAAAGCTCTGGAGAGAAGTCTGGAGAGACTCTCAGAGGCTCTTGTGCAGGGTTCTTTGTTTGGACAACGTGTACTCCACGAAAAAAGTAAAAGGCACAGGGTTTTTGAGTTGCGCCATCTACTTGGCATTTTACGCTCCTTGAGTTGCGCCATCTACTCCACACAAGGGATGCCAAGCAAAAACGGCACGAGTAGACTCGATCAAAGGCGATTGTCGAGCCGTCCCGATTTTTTGTGAAAAACAGGTGGTTTTCAGGTACCATAAAAGAACAGAACAAACTGACCAGTTGCGAAACCACCATGGCTGACCCATTGCTTGAAATGCAGCCAGCCCCAAGAGAGTCTTTATACTGTACATCGTTTCACTTAATTTCCAATACTGTAGGCGCTTACTGATTACTTTCGCTTTTGGCTAGAAAAAAATCCAGCAGAATGCAAAGTAGATGGCGCAATGTTTCAAGATCTCATCAGTCACGGATCCATAACCGCCATTTTTGGCAGTGGTCTGAATTTGACGTTTGGGTAGGGTAGATGGCGCTCTCCGCATGATTGGAGTTGCGCCTCTTGCTTTTTTCGCGGTGTAACAGTTTGTCAACATTGCTCAGTAGTTTGCCGAATAAAGATGCAATGTTGTTCGTTGCATTGTGTCAGGTAGAGTCCAAGGAAGAGCAAGTCATCAGGTACGATGACAAATTGGTACTGTCCTCACTTCTGCAGTTCACTTTGAACAGGCTTAACAAAAGACCTTTCATTCTGTGAAGTCGTTTTAAGAACATTGATGATTCAATTTGACCATTTTATGTATGCGTGGCATGCCATTTGACTATATAGAATCAGCGTGGCATGCCAAGGCCAAGATGTACACTGGCCTCATGGAATCAGCTCGAGGCACAGGTGCAAAGCTGCAGGATGTGGTCAAAACTCTGGTGTCTTTGCTGAATTGATCACCTTGCAACTGCATGCGGTCCCGCGCAGCATATGTGCGGCGTGGGTATCATAGGCGTTCGTTGGTCACTTGTTTTCTCATTTACTAAGGCTCCGTCATCAGAAAAGGGAGCTCCCAGCCGTGTGTCTGTGTCTGTGGTGAAGAAGATTCGAGACATAGGTGACAGCTGTGGTGACCATGCTTTTCTCCACTTTGCTATTCTCATTCTCTTTGAAGACTGGCAAGCAGTATAGATTTCTTTCTGCTAGCAGGGTCACAACCGCGCTGGTCGTGCACTTTTCAGCAAATCCCGATTAATCCTCCCTGTGTTGTTACATTCTTGTTCAAAGTGGGTGCTTCCTCAATTTCACTGGAAAATGCGGCATTTTGTGACGTTTGAATGTTTTTTTGGGGAGGGAGATTGGAGGGGGCAGTGGGGTGGGGGGCTAATGGCTGTCTTCGCCGCAAACAACTTTAAATGGCTTGACACTTCTACTGTAGAGCAACTGACACATCGCTTGGTGTCACACACAAACACCCCGCAGCTCGCTTCGCGTCTCGGAAGCATCCAGCACGATGATATATAGGTAATCAAGAGTGCATTGGTGTAAGAGATAGGATTGGATGCGCATACGCACCACATACTAATCATTAATCTAATTTGCTCGCACACGTTGACTTCCAGTGGTGATGTAAGCCCTCAGTTGTTCAAGTGCTTGCAATGATATTGCTGAAGGTAGGGACGCACCAGAAATGATGTGCTATGGCATGAACATGGTTAGACCCAACTAAGATGAACGTACTGTACGTGCTTCGTCCTTGCATGTTTTAGAAGGCAACATGTCAGTCACTAGTCTTTTTTTCAAGTTCCAAACCGCTCTTGGCGAGCCCCGAAAAAAAGTGCAGTTTCATTTGCTGAGTTTTAAATATTTCGCCAAAACAAAATATGAATTTGAAGGACGTACACTCTACAGTAATTACTGTAAATCACATGCTCCAACACTTTTTAAAAGCACCTTTGAAAGATGAAACAAAACGCTGACAAAACGCAGAAGCGCAGGTGCAGTTGTTCACCCACTGGGTTCCTTTTGTATCGAAAAGGAATTGGTCCCACAAACAACGGTTTGCTCTTTGGCTGTTTTCTCTTGGTCAACTTGCCTGGACGTGCACCAGTACCAGCTGAATTGCCAAGATTGCAGTTGTACTCCATGGCCTATATGAAAGGAAGTATCATGTCAAAGCATTGATTGTCAGTGGATATCAATGGTAGGTGATATGCTTGATGAAGCTCAAGCAGATGTGTACAAGGAGGAGTGGATGTCCCTCAAGGTTCGATGGATTCACTTCATCCGTCCGTCTGGCATATCCGCTTTGCGTTCCCGGTCAGGTATACCCTTCAATTCTTCGAGCGTTTCTTCCGCTGATGACACATGCCTGCGTTTCTGAAGAACGACGGATGACGTTGCGACTAACGCGTGAACCTGGTTTGTTGGACTCTAAGCATGAGCAAGATGCACGTAAGGGAATACTATGAGAAAGAAGCCTTCAATGACGGCAATGGCGACAAGTACGTAAATGTGGCCTGGCTGCTATGGCAACCAAAGCCCCTTGAATACATGCAAAGAGGATTGTGTTAGATGGTGAGGGACTGTTAAGTTTATTTTTATTATTGTTATTTTTTTTCATTTTTTTTTAAAAAAGATTTTTTAAAACAGATTCTTGTCAGCCGAAGGCAGCAACCCGCGATAGCTTAACTTTCTATCGCCTGCAGATGGCTGTCAACATTGATCGGCTTGAAAAGGTGGGCTGTTTTTTGCAGCCAAAGACATTGCAGAACGCTCGCTGTGATTTGTCATGACTTGACACATCAGAACGAATCCGAACATGCTAAATCTATTTTGATCTGAACTTATCACCATTTGCTTGCCCCGAGCTGTTCTTTCCAGATATAGTTCAGGGGTTTGAGTCAGGCAATAGAGAACCAGAAAGTCCGCGAAGTGGAAGAGGACACTGTGGGTGGTTTGTGAACTTGTGTTTGGGGCGTTCATTGCTTTCCTTCTGTTCTGAGAGGCCTTTGCAAAGACATCCCTGTCCTATGACAGATTCCTGAAAGCTGGTGATTTGTATCAAGGACACTCAGTTTTGTCCAAGATGCCTTTGAAACAGTTCGACAGCTCGAACCGCATCTTTTTTGCGCAGAGTTGTTGTTGGTCGAAGGATATGACCCTGTGACTTCTACGACCGTTTTCTTCAAGAATATCAGCGATGACCAGCTGCGGTACACACCTCTTGCGCTGCAGCAGCCACAGATTCGAGATGAGGCACAGATCTGCCGCTAGATGTTTGCTGGTTAAACCGCAGTGCCTTGAGAGATGACCAGATTAGATTCGGTCTGGAATATTGAAGCCTGCAAAAGCTTTGTGAACATCAGCCGAACTACAATCGATCGCTTTATTCCTTGGGTTCGTGGCCTTCTGGTTTGCACGCTTTGCCTGGTCCAGATGTTAGCAAGCACAAGCTCGGCTGTCCGAACTCAGGAGCACTTGTAGTTGACCATTGTACATTTCTGTTCTCTTGGGGGCACCGATTGGATTGCTCTCACTATTAAGGTGTGTAACATACTAAGCGGCGCCCAAACATCAAAGCATTGCAGCACATCCAACTTGTGTTTGCACATGATGACATTTGTGACTACCGGTGCCTCAAAACCAAGCACTCATTTTCCCAACATTGTGTGCTTGAAAATGACTCGCCAGATGACTTGGAGACGTCCGTGTACGTCCGTGTACCCAGCGTTCAATCTCCACGTAGCAACAGGTCAACAGCATTGCCTTAAAAAGATTCCAACGGTCTTAGACTGTCTTCGTCAGTTGCATCTGTGTCTTGATCAGCTCTCTGAGCTGGAGAACCTCAAACACAAACAGTCCAGAGTAGTGGCTCTTTTTGTTGTCTGATATACTTTCAGTGATGTCGCAAAACATATTGTTTATGCCACCTTCTTGGAGTTGTGTGTTTCTTTTGTTTGGGAGTCTGGTTACCAGGTTCCTTTTCGTGTTGTCTGTGAGATTTGGTACCCTTGCCAGATTGGTTTTGTTGCATTTGTTTCTGTTCTGAATTGGGAGGTGCGAATTACTACGAATTGTCCAACTCGCCTTTGAAGGGAGCAGCATCTGCAAGAAACTTTCAGGAATTCAGTTCGCGTGGCCGTGCCAGACTGCAGCTTTGGTTCGCACAAGCCTGGCTGCCTTCACTGGCCGTCGGATTCGCAGAACCTGCGATCTGGCCCGGCCGTGGCCTTGAGGAAGGCACGACCCCTGTTCTTGGAACTCAGCACCGCTTTTGCCATGCTAGTTCCAGCGGCGACCGTCTGTCCGCGAGTGCGTACGTATGTTTTGGGTCTGGTGCTTCGTTCACCGTTTGAGTCGTAGGTTTCCTTCTTACAGTGCTTCAGTCTCTCCAAGAATTTGATTCAGAATTTGAGTCAGCTTCTCTCGCAGCCAAAGCCGGGCACTGATTGAGTCGAAACCGTTCACAAAAGCACAGCGACTCGCTTGCGTTGCTTTTGCTCTGCATTGGCTTTGGAAGCCCTCATTCATCTTGCCATGGCTTCACTTTTTTTGGAGGCAGGTCCACTCTCCTCACGCTTACAGCAGAGCAAGTTGGATCGACTCAGACAATGACAAAGCGAATTTGGACAATCATTCGCGCGCCATTTCTGAACCTCTTTGGTGGCTGAAATCATGCAACCAGTGCCTTGCCTGGTAGCAACCGTCCAGTGGTGAGCTATTCATGTCAAGCTTGGCGCGTGGCCCGCGCGGACTTTTGGCATGTGCCTCGTCATCGTGAACTCTGAGCCAACACCTTTGGCATCGCTCGGCTACTCCTTTTTCTTGGTTCAAGTGCCTGCTCCAGAGCGGAAGCATTATTGATCTTCCAGTGCAACAAGACATCTTTCCAGACGTCGCTCAACCTGTGTCGTTTCATCGCTATAGACGCTGAGTGTGCTCACACCCTGGTATATACGGGTCAACAAAGCAATATACTCAAGACTCAAGAGTCAAGAGATTATAATAGAATATTCTAGGGTTCCTTTTATATACATATATACATAGATGCAGATGGTTGTGGCCCAAGGTGTAGCTGTGATAAACGACACTGAGATAGATGCAAGTGAGCAAAGAAAGCAGAAGCTGGAGGACAAAGAGTTGATTGGATAAGAAAACAAAGATGTTGCGGCCTTAATTTACAAAAGCCACCACAACTTTCTAGGGTGCTTTGGGGAGAGAAATATAAACAATAACACTAATGAACAATGGAAGGCGTGGACAGTATTGCACGGGATGTGTTTATTAAAATCAACAAGAACCAACAGGAATTCAAAAGGAACTTACAAGGACATCAACAGAAATAAATAGGGATATACGGACCTAAAATGTAGACTTCCCAAAGCTGGGCTAGAGCTTTGCATGGAGTGCAGGTCTGTGCGTGCCCACCCTGCACCAAAAAAGTTTAAACAGCGAAAACAATTTTCCAGGAGTCCTGGGGAAGGGAAAAGCGCGCCCTATGTGTCGAATATTGTCTTCACAATTTTACACAATCAGAAAATGTAGGACAACTGTAAATATTGTCACGCGAAGAACAAAGAAAATTATGGTCTCAGACATGCAATATAAGCAATAGCTTTTTATACCAAAACTGCGCATTTCTACAAGTGTCACCACTCCATCCCCGCAGGGCGCCCCCTTCTGTTAGACAAACCCGTATCAGGGGCCTAAGTTTTTGCGACAAAACCTAGTTTTCTTTTCTTTTCCCTCTATATTTAGATTCAAGATTCAAGAGCTGGACCAAGTTTTTCTAGGGATCTAGAATCTTGAATCCAGGTCCAAAACAACTATATACTGTAGTCTTTTGGAAACACAAACGAGTTTTTTTACTGTTTATTATTTCCAATCTATGCATATATGAGAGTCGACCGAAACCCGAGAAACAGACATTTAGACCAAGTGCAAATGTGAAAATCAGACCTTGCCTTTAAGCAGCCGCAAGGGCGAGCGCAAGTTCATTATGTAGATTATTTTTAGATTGAAATGCAGGTGCGTTTATTTGAGATGAATGGGACAACCTGGGAGATTCTACAATTTCGTAGCTATTTGGCAAAGGCTCAAGTGGATTGCAGCTAGTTCTTCAACTTTCCTTAATTTCTGTGATAATTTTGTTTTTGGTCGTGAAATGCAAGCATATATTTTCCGTAAGTTTTCCGCAAGGTAAGCGCAAGCTAAGCTAGCGCAAGGCCAACGATGCCATGTGACCCATACTGGAACACTTCAACAAGTGGAAGATGCGTAAACCGATGAGAAAACCAGAGGAGCAGGCTTCAGGCGATGGATCTTTGACTGCTAAACATGTCCGTGACCTTCGAAGTGGCATCTGAGATTTACTGATGCAAAAACTAAAGGAAACTTTGGAGCCACTGACAGAAGAGGTACCCCCCGCACATCTGACCGCAAGGTATTAAAAACACATGAAAGAGGGAGATCTTGTGGAGGCACCAAATATACATCTAATATATATATAGTGTTTTGTATTCATTGTCTCTTTGATCCTGCTGTGGCTCCGCACTCCGCACCCTTGCTGACGGTCTGACAGCTGCTCGCTTCTCCACTTGGGATTAGGATTTGGGCCAGCAGCCGAGTCCTGTCATGTGCACCCCTTTTCGTGGACCTGCAGCCGGCTTTCTGCACCCTATGTGAACTTGGTGGCATAACAAGAAACACGCGCGATGTTTGTTTTTGCTATATACAGTTTTGGGGTCTATACGTTGGTATAAGGTATATACTGCATAACCTTTGGCAAGATGGCTAAATTCCTTCCAAATATATAACCGGAAGGTGCTATATCTGCCAGGTGCTTGTGCTGCAAGGTCCAGACAAGGGAAAGGCACGCTGTTGGAGCGCTGTGGGAGAACTGGTCAATTTGACTCACTTAGAGTGATCGACGGGTCCTGTTTTGGGCCTCTCACAGGTTGGGCGCATCATTTGGCTAGGCCGCGAAAATGGCGACGACCTGGACAGCAAGGCCTCAACTTCCTGTGTTTTTTTCATTTCATTCCTGGTCTTTTGTAGTGCTGGGCTATGTCACTAAGTGGTGTGGACATAAGGCTGAGGGTCAATAGCCGACTCAGAAACCAACCGATCAGGCAACTACGATTCGGAAACCAAAACAGTCCGATTCAGAAACCAAATGGTCCGATTCAGGAACCAAATGAGCCGATTCAGAAACCAAACGGGCCGATTCAGAAACCAAGCGAGTCCCGATTCAGAAACCAAAGCAGCCGATTCAGAAACCAAAACAGCCGATTCAGAAACCAAGTCGGCCGATTCAGAAACCAAACCAGGCGATTCAGCAACTATGATTCAGAAACCAAAAGAGCCGATTCAGCAACCAAAAGAGCCGATTCAGAAACCAAAACAGCCGATTCAGAAACCAAAACGGCCGATTCAGAAACCAAAACAGTCGATTCAGAAACCAAGGTAGACTGTTCAGAAACTAAGCCAAGACAATAGCGTTCCATGTGGATGCAAACGGCTTTACATTCAGTCAAGTAAGAAGTAGTGGTGGATGGCAGAAGGAGTGTGGGGTGGGGGGGGGGGGGGGGGAACCATGGCCAAAAAAATAAGGTTCCATTGGGGTTGCAAAGGGATTTTACATTCATTCAAGTACGAATCGAATTTGTTTGTCAACAGCATCTGGCTGAACAGAGTGGAGGGTAGGAGGAGTGTTGGGCGGGGGGGGAATCATGGCCAAGATAAAAACGTTCCATGTGGACGCAAAGGGCTTTTACATTCATTCAAGTAAGAATTAGTGGCGGACGGCAGGAGGAGTGTGGGGTGGGGGGGTGGGGGGGAATCATGGCCAAGATAATCACGTTTCTCGTGTTGCTTCGCGGAGAGATTTTGCATCGGTGGCACTACCACCACCACCACCACCTGCTACTACTACTACTACTACTACAACTACAACTACAACTACAACTACAACAACTACTACCACTACCCGGGTCATCAGTTTCTTCTTTTGGAAATGTTTTTGGTTTTGGTTTCCTGGTTTTGGTTACCGAATCAGCGGTTTTGGTTACCGAACCAGCAGTTTTGGTTACTGAATCAGCAGGATTTGGTTACCGAATCAGCGGTTTTGGTTACCGAATCAGACGTTTTGGTTACCAAATCAGCGCTTTTGGTTACCGAATCATAGTTGTGGAGTCAGACCGTTTGGTTACCGAATCAGATGTCGACCTCTGATGAGTACCTATTGTAAACGGTGGGTAAGCAAAGCCCGTGGCCAAGATTTGTCCATGAAAAGTCTGTATTTGTGCGTCTTGAAGATTCTCCTTGCAGGTTCTTTCAGCTGTGGTGAAGTTGGAACCAAACCCCGCAGCATGGAAGCATTAAGACTGAGGAGAGACCTCTTTTGCATTTTTTTGTGCTTTCAATTGCTGTTGCTGTTGCTGCTGTTGTTGTTGTTGTTTTTTTCTTTTCACATGTCGAGGTGCTTGGCGTCTCGAAGAGTGGTGGAGCCACCTGACTGCACTGCAGTGGCCCGTTGACTCACGCGAGTCGAACGAGTCGTGTTGAATCGAAAGAAAACGAACCGAACGAAACGAATGGAACAAACGATTGGAACGGAGTCGACATGAATGAAACAAACATCTTGGAGTCGGGTCAACGGTGAAACTGAGCCGTGTTGCCAGATCCATGATGTGTTTTTGAGTCACTGACTGAAGGCGTGCACATGGTTTTCAGGTACGAGAGGTCAAAGCATATCCGTACTCCTGGCTGGTGATGACTCGTGGCAGTGATGAGAGCTATGTTCAAGATCTGGTCCTCGCAACTGTCGCAACTTGTCGATCTTAATCCTCATCCATTATCCTGATATTCTGATTGTTTCTTTCCCAACGAACTCTGGTTTGCTTTTGACTTGAGAGACTTTGTCTTGGTTTTGGTTTGCTCCGACAAGCCGTGTTGGATGTCACATGATGTCACACACGGAACGTAACGCCATGTGCGAAGTCTTTTGAGGCAGCGATTGTCTCTTGCTCCCTCACCTATCCTTTGGAGACACTCAAGGAGAGAAGGGAACGAGCAGTCACCGCTGATTCAGCTTGATTCACTCTGGTGCAACTAGCTTCGGCAGGCAAGGGCTCAATCAAATCTGCCACTCTTGCCTCCAGAAGGTCCTCAAGTCGCCTAGTTGCAACAATCATTCATGCAAAATGTGCCAGCCAATGCTTGCTTGCTGCTTTCATTCGCCCGTCTCACGTTTGAGGCGCTTTTCCGGGGCTTGACGCTGAATGTTCTGCGAGAGGCTGACCAACCGCAGTCTGAGAGCGACTTTCACAGACTTTCTCAGATTTTGAGACTGATTTTCGTGTTTCTGCAGGCGCCAAATCAAGGATTCCTCATGGCAGGCTTTAACTACTTCACGAGATTTGCAGCCGGAGTCTTATGATCAAACAGATGCATTCTGCCTATATACATTTTGTGTACGCATGCAAAAACACACACATTGATGTTTGTGTATATATATATATGTTTATGGTACCACCCCCACCAACATATAACTGTTTCATGAACGGAGCAGTATGTGTGGTCTCTTGAACAACTTCTTTGAGGCGATATTTTGGTCGGTGCCACTCTAACCCCGTGCATTTGATTGTTTAGATTGAGATTACTCCTGTATTCTGGTTTCATGAAATCGTCGTGATCGGTGGATTGATTTACTTGACTGGTTTGGTGCCCTTTGATTAGCAGGCAAGGCAAGTTTTGGGAGAACTCTTCGACCCTGTGCTTGACTTGTATATGGTTGTTTTGCTGGATGTCGTACATCAAAATGGAATTTGGGAGCTATGAACCAGTGTTTCCTTTTTTGCCCAGTACGAAGGAGCATCCGGAGCAGTACCTGCAAACTCAAGTGCCAGAAACCTCAATTACCTACCTTCCTCTACAGTTTGAGCAGTGAAGGGACAGTCTGCCGCTTTTCCAGTCGCTCGCTTCATTGCAAGCAGCTTCACATCACGATACCTTTGCAAAGAGCTTTTCCTGTTCAGTGCCAGTAGCTTCCATGAAGCCCAATGCAGACGAATCTGCAGAGCAGCATCGATAGTGAGACGGCAAAGCCTCCCCATCCGAGAGGGTCCTTTGCTTTCCCATTAGAGATGACGTCATTGGAGGCTGGCGATCCGGTCATCCAAGGCACCGCTCAGGCAACTATGGTCGAGAAGGCAGTCGAGAGGAGTGTTTGGCGTGCAGCATTTTTCACGCCAAACCCAAGCACCGATGGCGCATCCTCGACGTGCAGTGGTGTGGTAGTCGTTTTGCCCAGGTTTGATGCGGAGGTAAGAGCAGGCCGGTGTAAAATGGTATGCAGTTTGGGCTTCTTCCAAACTGCCTCGCAAATCTTGGACGTGCGGGTAATTGTGTCTTCCACGTGCGTTCAAGTTTCCGTGCCAAAGATTTACTCGGTAGCTTTTTGTCACGAAGGGATCCATGAACTCCTTCAATGGCTTCCCGCCGCCCGCAGCGTATTCCATCGTTGGCGCATTGCAAGTTCTTCACACCGAGCAAGCGGTGTCCGCGGGTGCTTCTCAAGTCTCCCACACCGACGGCAGATCCAAACTCGCATTGGCCTTCTTAGTGTCATCGAATCATGCGAGCATCCTGGTGAACTCGCATTTGTACAAGCTTGAGCTGCACGTCCATAGAAACACGAGCTTCGTCTATCAAGAACTTCAAATCCGAGCAGGCTTTTGCGAGATCCGCCACTCGACATAAATGACCACAAACCAAGAGATGCAGGACATGTCAAAGAAAAAGTGACCATGAAACCAAAAGCCACACGAATCCGCCCAACAATAGGGCCTTGCTGGCCAAGTCAAAGTGACAGAACATCACCTTCTGGTGGAGCGCATGAATCGCCAGTTGCGTCAGGCTCCTTCGGTATGGTGCAAACAAAGGCAAGCCAGGTAGTGTAAGAGCCACCCAGCAGCCAACCAGCCGGTAAACGTGGGAATGAGAGGGAGAGTGAGCCTGCTGGATAGCAGGCATGGCTGCTCAAAAGAAGAAATTGCAGGAGGCTTCTTCTGCCCGTTTTATGTATTCAATCGCCAACTTCTGTGCTGCTGCTTGAAAAGCTCGAGGAAGAATGTGACGTCTTGTTCGCCAGTGTCGCAAGGCACATTGCCCGGCCAACAAATGTTCACAAGTTTGTACAAGCAAAAGCATATTCCACATCGGAGAGATGCTAGATTGGCAGCATTTCCAGCACACTGTGGGCAGAAGTACCACATCCGCCTATACTGCCGTGCAGTCGCGCAGCCGGCTTCTGCCTACCGCAGTTAGGAAGGGTGGCGCGTGGCAGTGGTGCTCTTTCAATGATAGACTATCGATATCCGTCACAGCCCATGGTTCAGGCTGTGCAAGCTTCCTCCTAGGGTCCTAGAGGTTGATCACCCAAAACTGATCTGTTCGCGTACTTGTCAGAAGCTTTGACGATGCACCTGCCACCGCCCAACAACAAGACACTGGACAATAACACCCTGGGCAGCATCCGGCTACCCCGTCCTCTGAAAGAGTTGCCTACCTCGAAAAGAAAAGAGCATGCGGGTTCAATCCAAAACACCCACAGACGTTTCGATAAAAAAACATGGGGGCGTGTATCATTTGTCACTTGTCCCACACCAAATCATTTTTTTGTAGTCTAAGCCACGAGATTGTTTGACTTCATAAACACATGCACAAAGTTTCAAGAGCTGAGTCAAGGGCAAATGCCATATTTAAATATATTTAACAATTAACATTCTTGGCATAATTTTGGCGTATTCTAAAGACATCCGTGAGAGTTGCATATATTTCATACACAATATACACATAACATGTCGGCAACAGCATGGCTGAGGTTAGCCTACCCTTCATCAATGGAAACGACCCCAACCTCAAGTTTTTGCTGATGATCCCTTCAGGCAGGCACCAGTTCCGTTCGGTTGACATGTGGTCCCACTGTGCTTCTGATGCAAAGCACAAAGGCATTTTGGCGATGTGTTCGGGTGCCTTTGTCAAAGCTCCCGTGATAGACATTAGCAAGCAAGCCTGAGTCCCAGAAAAAAGACACGCCAAAGCTTTGTCGGGAGTTCGAGCAGCTTGTGCATTTTGTGTGCTGTTTGCTGAGGTTCAAGCTGGACTTGCTCAAAACGCTGGCGAGGCTTTGGAGAAGCTTTGATGAACCGGAACAAATCCGATCGATCATATCGGATCGCCTGGGTATTGAAGCACTGTTGCACCGTCGGGCAGCTGTGGATGATGCTAAAGTTCGATTTGAGGAATGTGTATTTGAAACCGAGTCCTTCGCAGGCAGAGCTGGGTCATCAAACTATTAGATGTGTGTGACCGTTTGTGTAATCAAGCATATGCCTGATGGAAGACCGCAGTATATGGGGCGGCATGTGTTTACGTACTAATCATTCTAATCAGTGCTGAAACGAAACCTGTGAATTGTCCAAAGCTGTGCATTCTGGGACTTGAACTCGTTGCAGGTCACGAAGCGCTTAGGGCGCAACTTGATGCTGACAGTCATCCGAGGAGTCCTGAACCGAGGTGTCTTTGACCCCTTGACCAAGCCTGAGTTCGGCAGCTGGCCATGTGAAAAGCGCGGCTCAGGTGCCCTTCGGAGCTTTCCAGTGCTTCATCTATGAGATATTGAAGGACTGGAATTATTGTGACATGCGCTGTTTAAAGTTGGACTGAGTATATGGACCTTGCTGGAGCAGAGGATAAGACACCACCCTTGCTGGAAAGCCTGGGGGTCCTTTGGCTGCAAAGATGAGCATTGAAAGGATTACAATGTTGTCATTTTGCCTTTTCCAAGGGTTTCTCGCCTTTGTCTTTTGTTCTTCGTTGAGCGTGAGCCGCGCGAGGTGCCTATTTGGTTTGAACCCTTCATTTGGGGCGGAGTGGCTGGCTTTTGTACTGGCTACTTGACAAACCCGCCGGACTGCAAAGCTTTTATACTCATTTGCATTGCCTTGCATGAGTTAGTATATAGTAGAGTCTGATGTTGAGTGTTTATGTACTTTCTTCCTTTCGTTTTTCTTCCAAGAGGACGTTGTGATGCAGCGGTTGGCTTTGGAATCAAATGATACGGAGGCGAAGCAAAGCATTTTCACGGTCCGAGCATTGTCGCAGTCAATGGAACAGAAAGTGCTGTAGAATGACCTTCTGCCAGGATGACAAGCCCTTCAGCATTGAGGGAACCTGGGAAGAGATTGTGCAAGCCACGAAAAAGGCTGTGAATACTTGCTTCTTTGTTGAGTTTCCCCATAAAACAACGTATACGGTATACAGTATATGTGGAACAAATCCAGAAACGGCAGGTTCTTGATGATGAGGGTCTTGCTGGCTTTGGCAAAGGTGCTTTTGAGAAGCTTGGTTTATCCTGCTGCCATTGCTTGCCGAAGCACGACCCAAGTTATGCTTTGAGCTTGCATCTGAGGAATGCCGTATATTTTCTTCCAGAAGCAATGGTATGGTTTGGTGTCTACGAAGCATTGAAGGGTCTCTCGAACAGTGGCCCACCCTGCACTGGTGACGGACTTTTTTTTTTTTGCAGGTTCAACCTGTGTCGACTTTTGAGTGAATTGCTTTCCAACTAAGGTGTCCTGCAGGCAATTTGATTTATCTTACTTTCAGTTGTCATTGCGAGCCTCTGACTGCCCAGCTTCTTACCACAGATAAGCCAGCTGGCTGATGTCGCGCGAGATTTACATGTTTGCACCCGTAGCAAGTACTCGGGCACAAGGATTTCTTTGCCCGTGCGAAGCTTGAAATGAGCTATCTTTCAATTGTTAATGTTTGGTTCTTATGAACTGAGCAGCTTTTAACGTCTTTTCTCTCACCGCAGATGGCCACCTGAAGTGCACGCACAGACGCAACCAAGAATCGGAGAATCAAGCAAGCATCAACACCACTAACAACTGGAAGATGATTGTGTCAGTGTGTTGAAGTTTAGCAACGACAGTGTCTTTGTGTACTGTGAGTCATTTTTCCTGCTTGAATTTGTACAAGCCAGCCGTTTGGTGCCAAGTTCTGATTTAATTCAAACATCTGAGCAGCTCAAGGATACCGCTGGCTGGCTGCTTGTACATAACGTGTATATAGCGAGCGTCGACTCTGTAAATGGCCAATGGCCATATATTGCAACTTCTAGAATGAAGGATGGACATAGCTCTTTAGGGTCTACGAATTCTTCATCAGCCGAAAGAATGAGGATTTGCTTGGAAAGTGTTCTGCACCATCCTTCAGAAGAATTTCGACTGCAAGCTGTGGCTATTCTTGCTAGGGACAGTTTCTCAACGTCAGCAAGCGTTGCTCAGCCAAAGAGTCGAATTGGGACAGCTGCTCATCAGATAGTTGCGAGCAGGAATATCGTCGGAAGCGAAGGTATATAGTGTGAACTCCAATTTTCAGGTTGTGCCGCATACGCGGCGGGGCTGTCATCGATTTATTTCACAGCACAATTAAGGAACATTTCCAATTTTCAGCTCGAATGCGCAGCAGAAGATCATTTAGCATGTACAACTGAGGCCACAACAGAGTCAGAGGTTAGTTGTTTTCAAGCAGGCTCAGAACAGTCTTTGCCTCTGAAGGAGGCAATGCCTTCTGCTGCAGCTGTTGTCTGTCGGTTCCAGCTGGGAGAGCTGGGGCGCATGCGCATATGCATCCACAAACCCAAGTTCTAGAATCTAGAAGTCTGGCGCGGTGAGAAAAAGCAGCAATTCATTTTCATTTTTCCCAACATTTTAGATCGCACTTTGTCAGTAGCTGTGTTGCCGTTGAATCTTCAAGAAACACCAGCTCGAAGGAGATCTCTGAAGACGAAGACGATGAGGGTTTGCTCCCCTGCTAGTTTGTTTTGGTTGCAGATACTACGTGCTTGTGCACATACCAAGATACACCAGCTGAGCATCTCAGAAGTTATATAAGTTTGGACTGAGGCCTAGCTCCAAGTGCTGGAGATAAGGAGGCCTGGCAGTCAAAGTGGGGGAATATCGACGCCGAGAACCCAAAACGAAAGCTGCTGAAAATACATCCAAGTCCCAAACAGTACGGTAACTTTCACGAAGCAGCACTTCCTCCTACCACCCACTCCGTCTGCGCTCATCTCCCCTCTTCCCACACCACTTGCACCTGATTTGTGTGCGTTGCGAATGCGGGACAACTCTTGAGGTTTGTTTGTGTGTGTTGTTAGTTCTTTTGTTGCGTTTGTCCGGTTTGAAGTGCCCATCCCCGAATCAGTTTTGAAGGACTTCTTCCTGGCTGATCGTTCTTTTTTGCATGCCCGCATTGAGCAAGTTCACTCGCCGCGACGATTGCGACGGGTATATACAAAGATGCGCTGGCTGGCATCTGCCTCAAGCGCATGAGCTTTCCACGTGTGCAACGTGCTTTGCAGCTCTACTTCGGACAGAGGCCACCTTCTGTGGACAAGATTGGTTTGCAGCTTGGCCTCAGCGGCAAAGGCGCTGGATCGTTGAATAAGTTTTTGTCAGCATGCCAGAGCCACGAAGTCACCCTAGCGGAAGAAGGGCAAGAGGCTGACCTGTCTGGACAAATCGAAGGCGGTGCAGCTTCCAGCGCAACTCTTCGGCGTGTTTCATTCATGGGATGTCATCGTCCCTTTTCATCGTTTGACCAAGGGCGATTCCACGCAGTGTACTCGGTGTGCTGTGCTTCATCCCAGCGGTCTGGCAAACCCCTCCTGACAGCAGACAGCCGTACTCCAAACAGGAGGCTTCGACTCCTTCGACCGCGTCTGTCGAGGGGACTCGGCCGGACCACGCGCCATTGTCATTACGGATGGGTGCTCTTCATGCCTTGGATTTTGCTCAGACCATGGTTTGTGCAACGAAGCTTGCAACCATTCCGAAGGAGTCTTCTGTGTAAAAAAGCAAAGTAGTTTTGGAGACCAGCTGTTGATCCCCATCGATGAAACGACTGTGCAAGGAAAGCGCGGCAACAACGCTCAGATCTCTCAATGGTGACGACATCAACTCGGACATATGGAAGGGCATTCGATGTTGGCAGTGGCGATGGCACCACAAGAATGTTGACTTGTTATGATTTGTTGAGTGCATTCGGTCAAAGTTTGGCTTCGAGCCCTCGCGTGGTGGCACGAACACGAGGGATAAAAGTGTCGCGCTCTTTTAGTGCGCGATCCAAGTTTCGTGGCATTTTGTTCCAAAACTTGCAACGGTCTTTGCTGTACTTTGGAGATGTGAAGTCTTACTCAGAAAACTTACCATCCAAAATTGGGTGGCCTACACAACAGAACGATCCTCCCGCCAATTGGTCGAAAGTTTGTGCAACCGCAAGCGCGGAAACGGGCCCCCGCCGGGATGCTGTTGAGTGTAGCCAGTTGACACAAAGTGTCAATGATACATGTATCCAATGTCATCACCGGTCACTTCTTGTGGTTCATGCGAGGTGAACTGGCGAGATGGAATGGCACATGAACGTGAACCCAACATTCAAATGTCCAGCCACCAGGTGTGGGACCTCGTGGGCGTAAAACCATGCCACATTCAACATTCGGTCAATGACAATTGCCTGGCCGCACCGCTTTTTGTTTTTCGCTTTTCAATCTTATCTTGACTCTCTATTCCTGATTGATGCTGTCAAAACGCTGTGTCAGACCGCCACATACAAACGTGCACTCTGACAGGGTCCGCGAAGCAAAGCTTCGCGAGCAAAGCGTGCACGCCAGGCAGAGAAAGAGGAGCCCCGCCCCAGCACTATACAACTTTTGAGTTAGAATCGGAGGGTTAGCTGCTGGCAACAACAACTAGAAAAGACAGGTACGGTATAAGACAATCTTACTCAAATTTGATGCTTTTGAGCAAAACGCACTTTGTTGGAAGGAGATGCAACAGGCTGCAGCAACAGCCATGTCCAAAGCGGCCGAGGTTGATTGAATCATTGATTGAATCACCTGAGTTCTTCATGCCGTTCTAGTGCCATTGAGTCGGATTCTTTCTTTGCTTCTGTTGCACAGCGACACAGGCAAGCTTTCAAGTGCTTGCTGCTGCGGACTCTTCCATCACAGCTGAGGCAAGCAGTGACTGACTCTTTCAGTTCGCTTCTTTGCTTTGATACCTTGTGAGCCCCAGAGCCTGCAAGCCCCAAAACCCTGGTTTGGGGCTTGTTTGAGGCACTTCGCAAAGCGCTAATCCGCTTCAGAATTCCTCCAGAGGCTCTGGACATGGCATGATGTTCATCGTTGTCATGCCGATGTCAGATATGATCAAACGATGAACATGTCTTACTGTGCGTCCTGACACATGTTCTAGGTTTGCAAGCCGGAGGAGGCAGAGGATTTGTTGGAGGTCGCAGCAGAACAAGCTAAAGGAGACCTGGGTTGACTGGATGCAACAATTTCTTTTCACTTGACCTTGCATGCCAATTGAAATCACTCTTGAAACGCAGTACCTCCTGGCTCTTTGAGCTTTGAGAGCTTCAAGAAGCTGTTTCACACCTTGAATCTCAAGGTTGGGACCCAGCAGACAACACCATGACAGCGCTGATACTGCTGCAATGTGTGCAGCCAGTATTTGGGGCCGCCCCAAACCCAAAAGGACAGTCTGCGAAGATAAAATCCGTTCCTGCCAACTCCGCCAGGTGACGAAAGATGGTCGTGTTTGGTGACGAGCATCGAAGGACACTGGTCTGCCGAAGGACACCGTTGGGCTCATCGAAGGACACCTCGGGCGAAGCAGGCACCGAGACGTGCCGTTCAGTTGATCGGAGATACGAAGAGACGGACAGGTCGTTGGAGATGGACAGGTCGTTTGGACGGATCGAAGTCCGCTGAAAACACCGGAAAAAGAGCTCTGTGGAGTGGAGTGGCAGGGATGTTGTCAAGAACTCTTGGATGTTGGCTTGAAGATGCTTGCCCTCAGCTTGGATGTTATTTGTGTAGCAATGCGTGATAGAGCATAGAATCAATCCACCTCTGGAGGAAACACAACGCAATGCTTTTTCAAGCACCTTCAAACCTTCAATTGTGTAACAGAACTTTTCAACCTGGTGGACGTAGGGTGGAAGCACCTCGGCGTAGGCACAGCAAGGTAGCCCCAAACCGGTTCTGTAGTGCATGCTCGAAACGCAACACAACAGCAATGGCCTCCAACCTAATAGCATGCTTAAAACGTAGCTTCCAACTGGCCGGTGTCGCCAAGCACTTGAGTAGCCTGCACCTCGAACTGTGAGATGGCCGTGGAGGAGGAGGAGATCATATGCCGCTACTGCTTTAGTGGCCATGAGGATGGAGAGCTCATCTCACCTTGCAAGTGCGCGGGTGGTCAGAAATATGTACACTTGAAATGCCTTCGCCAGTGGCAACGGATGGTCTTGGTGACCCAGCCGACCCATCCAGCCTTTTACGACAGAGACCTGAGGCATCAGACCTGCAATGTGTGCAAATCGGAATTCTCATGCGCACCGCCCACACGCCACGAGCTGATGGCCTCCTTCACTGGACCTGAGATTGCAGCTCTCATCGACGTGGGCTGTGTCATTGCTTCGCATGAGGCATTTTCAGCAGAGTTGGAGAGAAGTTTGGCGGCAATGCCACCCATGTTGAGGCACAGCAGCAGCTATGAGCATTGGATTCGTGGCGTGTTCCTCATTACACAGGTGGAGCCGGACGAAGGAAAGCTGACCCTCCGAGTTGATTCAGAAGGCGTGCTCCAAAGAGTTCGCGCCAAGATGGACGACAGACTTAGCCTTACATCACAGGGTCGCCGTTGGCGTGTGGCAGCCGGGGGGGAATTGGAAGGTGTGCAGGCCAATGCGCTTGCTGATGCTTTTGCAGGATTGAAAGCTCCATGCACTCTTGTCCTAGAATCAGATGAGCCGGAGAATTGCGGCAATGATCATGTTGTGGCTGTGAACCTGACAAGACCGCTGGATTTGCCACCAGACCGTGGGTTGGTGGACAGGGCGATGCAAGCAGTTTGCAAAAAGTACCGGAAAGCCAGCTCAGTGGAGATCACCCATTTCATGGGAGGGCCATGCCAAGAAAAGGAATTGATGTGCTGCGTTGTGCTTGGCGGAGGAGGTTGTGGATGGACCGTGCTGAAGGACCTCTCACGAGCGATTGAGCTGGCCTTCAGTCGTGCTGTCAAGCGCCAAGATGCAGAAGGTGATATTCACGCTGGCCAGACTGTCCGACTCCAAGGCTTGCAGGGAGCTGCTCATTTGAATGGCGAGATCGGCCTGGCTTTGCGCTTTAATGCAGACTCGGGCCGCTGGCTGGTGCGCCTACGGAATGGAGATGGCAAGCAGCTCCGGCCTGCAAACCTTGAGGGCCTTGAGGGCTCCAATGGTCGAGTCTTTGCTGTGTGGGGAGATGCACGTTGGTCTCGGGCACAATTACTGGGCGAGATTGCCAAAGGTGACTGGGGTCTTTGTAGAGCCAACATTGGTGATCTCACAGCTGGTCCAATGGAACGCTGGCCGGCCACTCGCTTACGCCTTGCCTTTGCACCTATCACAGAGATGACAGAAAGCTACATGAGGGAGGCTCAGCGGGAGATGAATGCAGCTAGACAGACATTGCAGATGCATGCAGAACCTCGAGAGATCGAAGATGAGCCAGTCCGAGAGGACACAACTTCCACTGCTCCCGGAACTGCGTCAGAACAAGAAGTGGCACTCTTGCTGAGCCAGGAATAAAAGCAAGGCAAAAACATGTGCACTAGATCACTACTTGTCATGCCAGCACTGCAAATAGACATGACATGCAATTGGCGGTTTTTGCAGCTTGGCCCAGCTTGGAGCCCGGTTTAGCGCGCTCCGCGTGTGCACACCGCTGTGCAAGCGGCCGGCTAAGCGGTGTTGGAGGCCTTGTTTTGGGCCAGATGACATGAGGAAAGACTAGACACTTCCAAGTCTGACAGGATTGAAAAAGACAACAGCCTGTAAGCCTAGAAGCGTTGCAGCCAGTCTGGTTGGAAGTAGGGTTAGCTGTACTGTTCTTAGTGGAGCACGGATCCTTGAGTCGCATCTTCCTTCGTGTTTAGACGGAAGACTTGCTGGTCTACTGCAGGCGTGCTGTGCACAGAGGGCTCGCACGCGGGGCAGCGGCCTTGTCGCGCTTGCAGAGGAGCTCCCGCATAGTGAATTGGAATGGTTTGTCACCAGAGCTAGGGTGAGCTCTCTCTCTATATATATATACATTGCAGAAGGCCACGAGCCTGGTAGTGCCCTCAACGGCTTGAAGAAGACACAGGAGAGATGGTGGTAAGTGGCAAGGGGAGGGCTTCGAGGGGGTCATGCGCCTTCTTTAAGAAGGGGGCCTTGCCTTACCTTCTTTAAGTCTCTGTTTTTTTCTTGCCTTTCGGATTCAAAAGGGCGAGATGACTCAGGGCAATCAGGTCTTCAGGTGTTCACTACCTCAGCCTTTGCCAGGCCTCCCTAGCCTGCCTCAACAGGCCCTGGCCTTCGAGGGAGGAGTGAATCGAAGCAGCCCGTATCTTATTGATGGCAGACACAGAAAGGAGACTTCAAAACGGCAAAACAGCAATTCAATGAAGGAAAACCGCAGACTTGTTTTCTTCATGAAGGCTAAAAGGTTTTCAGTGAAGAGTTCTTAAAACATGAAGAGGTTGTCCGAACATATTTCAACATGCCTCATGCCTTCCATGGCACAAGAGGCACTGCTCTTCGCTACTCTCCGCTTCACCGCTCCGCTTCAAACGCCTTCTGCAAAGCCTTCAATCCGGCGATTCCACTGGGCTTTTGGTCTTCGCTTCGGTCACTCTTCGTGCCATTCAAGCCTCGAGGCTTGTGACAAGGACGAGAGAGAAGCCAGCAAAGCTGAAAAAAAAACCAGCAAACAGCCGAATATGGCCAGAATAGGATGGTGTCAAGATCATTGAATCTCTTTTTGTTCTGACTTGATGAGATGGAACAACACTTGTACAGATCTCGACGCGTTCCAAGTCTCATTTTCTTGAGTCAGTGTCGTACCTGTCTATGAATCAACTGGTAGCCTCAACACACAACGAAGAATTCGGAATGAAACGCATCATATATGTTGAAACGCAACGTGTGACACGTCTGCTCAAGGCGGTTGGCAATGCCAACTTGTCGACTCTATGTGGGCAACTTGCCGAAAGATCGTGCCGTGACCTCGTCATGTTTCGTGGCGTGACCTGGTTGTGCTGAGGATGACTCACAGATTCTGTAAACGCGCTTTGGGCACTGACTAATTGCATCTTTTTTTTACTATATAGCAAGGTGCAAGCTTTGATCCTTTGGGTTCCTTTGGGTCGCGTGGCAGGGAGGTACGCGTGGAGATTGTAGAATATGAGAGATACGCTTGAAAGAAGCACATCAAAACATATGCAAACATGCAAACATGTGTACTGAGATGGGGACAAACTGATGGAATCGTGAAGATGTTGAAAGAATTCCAGATGGGAATGCGTACATAGACTCATCGACTTTCACTTCTCTTGAAGAGCGCCTCGCTCCGCAGAGTGCGAAAGATCGCTCAAAGAGCGGGCTGCGCACTCTGTTTGGCCATGGAGCCTTGTGAACTTTCTGGGCCTTCAAGCAGGAGTGTTGATTTGCAGTTTTGCTATGTTGCACTATGTTGCGCTTGAATCTCACACTTTTTTTGCATTTTCCTCAATCCAAACCAATGTGTTGAACTTGGTCAAGATGAAGTGAGCTTGAGTGCTCAACGCCCTGCCGCGCGTCCCGGCTTGGGCACAGCTTGGCTTCGAGGGTGTCAACGCTGAAGGTTGAACAGCAGCATAAGTGTGACTTCTGACAAGAATCCAAAAGAAGGCAAAAGGAAGTAATATATAAAATCGAGAAGCAGAGCTTTCCGGAAGGAGTCAGTGTATATGAGTATATTGTAGGAAACTTGCTGCGACAGCTGTGGTCTTTTGCTGCACTCATGGCCACAAAGTGCTCCTTGGCAGACGAAGGCTTCCGCTTACACTTGGGCCTTCCACAATGGCTTGCCCATTGCCTGGTCGAGGACGGCCCAGTTCGCCGTTTGATTTCATGGCTCTCTCCCTACGCATTGCCAATTGAAGTTCCCTTCTTTTGGTGCTGGACACACCTTCCTCCACATCTCCGGTATATCATTTTGATGGCACCTTGGTACTTCTGGGTGGTGCTCCACAAGATGCTTCCTGGCGTGCTGGTGAGGAGAGGCATGGTGGATGACTTGTCAATAGAAGCGCATGCCTTGGGGAATATCCTCTACTGGGTTCGCATTATTCCCATCACTGCAAGGCGAATGCGTTTCAGCTTGAATCAGCTGGACAGTAGCTGCCCACCTTCACTGAGTTTGAAGCTGGAACACATCCACATACCTGAACGTGGTGTGCGTGGAACCTATTTGCACATTGGAGGAAACGGAAAGGTGATCTATTGGATTTTTGGAGGTGCCTTTGTCGGGGGGAGCATCAAAGGGAGCATGGGCTTTGCGGAACAGTACGGTCGCCGGACCGGATGCGATGTCTTCATGATCGACATGCGGCTCTACCCCGAGCATCGCATTGAGGACGCAGTGGTTGATGCGTGTCGAGGATACGAATGGTTGCTGACAAGGACGTCATCAAAGGACATTGTGGTGTATGGCCTCTCTTCAGGTGGCGGCGTTGCTCTGCGATTGCTGCAGTTGGCAGCAGCGAAAGAATCCGAACAAGCACGGTTCTTTCAAAACCCCTCTGAAAGAAAAGGGCAACCTGCAGGTGCAATCCTCTGTGGTGCGTGGATTCGCTATACGACTCCCACACGCAGCATGAAAGAGTATACGGTGGTGGACTGGGCCACGACCTCAGTCGGACCTCGAAGGCCTTGCCAAGACAGGTCCTAAGGGGCCATGAACAAGGTTGCCGATCTGAGTTTCTGGAGGTTCCGGAAAGGTTCCGAGGATTCCCGAGCAGGGTTTAGAATATATATATATATGTATACAATTATGTAGGTTTCGTGAGCAGATTTGGAAGTTTCGGGAGGGGGTTTGATGGGTTGACGAATACGAGATCAAGGTTGACACATTCAATGACGACGCCACGGCGCCAGGGATAAGACCAGAGGCATTCCCCTTTGTCCACAAACACGACGACCAAAGCTTTCACCACAGATTCCACCGCAGATGTGAGAAAGTTGCTAAAGCCACATCTGCAAGAGGCATGGTTGCGAACACCCTCGTAAAGCTCCAATAAATGAAGTGGGCCTGAAGGAGGATGCTAAGCCTGGTGGGCTCAGTCACCTCAAACCGAGTACAGTATGTTTGCTACTGAGGATTTTGTCGAATCTTTTTGGTTCGTGTGCAAACAGGGCGAGCTTTTGCGTGTCTTGTGATTGTGGCGAATTACGAAAGCTCGGCACATGCTGGGGGGAGGAGGGTGCGTCGAGGGAAGGTTTTTTGAGGTTGTGTTGGAGGTGATTTTTGAGGGGTGGTGATGCAAGAAATGCAATTTGCATCATTTGCATCATCTGAATGGAAAGGTGTAGTTGGCACCTTGCCAGGTATAGAGACCCAGGGTAGCTATAGTGCAGCTACCAGGTATAGTACTTCAAGTTCCCTTTCCGTCAGCCGCTCGATAACCTCTACACACGCACAGCAATCCACAGCTTTGAAGCCTCATGCGCGCGATACCTGGGAACAGAATTGTAGCTACCGTGGGTCCGTATGAATGCTATGTTGCTATACCTCTTACACACCTATACCAGTTCAAAGCACGAATGAGACTTCATAGCTGTGGTTTGCTGTGCATGTGTGGCTCGAGAAAGATATGTGTAAACTCTGGGGGG